CCCTATATATTGGACACTTTTAATTGGAACCGGCGAATATCCTATAATTTTACATGTCCACAATACCCTATATCTTGGACACCCATTTTGTTGTAAGTTGGACAGGTTCACGCACTTAGGCTTCAATACTTTTCAGGGAAACGTTTACAGTTACATATTTTGTTGTTTTGAATTATTGACTGATGAATGTCTTCTGTCTGGAGGATTAGCCTATGATTCAGGGGGTAAGATACATTAACCTATCGTTGAAATGCAATGAAAGTTTTTAGTTATTCTTTCTTTGAACCCTCCACTGAACTACAGAATTGCAGATACAGTTTTAACTCCAATAGCACTGCGCTTGCATTCGAGTTCAATCTTTGTTAACAGAAACGGGATTTTCTTTTTGCGACAGGGAAGGGAAAATTGATGGAATTAACTTTATAAAATTTCATTGAGTCTGGGGTGTAATGTGCAATGAATGGGAATGGGTTTCAAAAGATTATTGTTGTTGCTACTTTTGACGGGTATTTCTCCAGTATATTTTATATTAGGAATCAAGAAGGTCACACATCTGCTGGTCTTCAATCGTGTTGTGTCACCTGGCTGTAATATTGCGTCCTTCATAGACCTGCATTGCAAGTCGCAAAACGTTGACAGCCTTCCACATTGCATTGAAAGATCTGGTAATCAGAATGCCATTAAAACACCTCCTCTACTACGCGCAAACAACAATAGTTACGATTGTAGCTCCCCGGAGACTAATCTTTCAATGCCCTCTCAGCGCCTGGCCCGCGCCCTCCGCTGCAATGTAACCGTGAATGGCGCGCTGCTGTCACGCGCATGCGCGGCGGAGCGAATTTTAAATATACATACCAACTTTGAGCAATTTTTTCGCACCCTTACACAGCGCATCAGCAGCAACGATTTTGTGTACAATCACTACTGGATGGGCTCTGTAGATGAGCAAAATTTCAGGTGAGGTTTCGGCATGACCAACCTAACCATTCCCTTGTCAGTAACAGAAAGTAGAAAGCTCACAGAAGAATTTGGAGAAAGTTTAGTAGACAAGTGCTTTAGAAATTTTAGCTACACGTTATACGTTAAGTTTATATAATTTCGACTAAAATTTGCTGTTGAAATCAGCCATAGTGTGTTCTTGTAGCTGTTTCTGGAGCAGTTAGAAAGATAAGAGTTTTAATATTTTACAGATAAATTCAAGATAATGA